CTTAATATTTTATAACCTTGCAATGCAGAAAGATGTTTTTGAAAAAATATTTAAAAAATATTATTTGGAATAAAAGTTGATAGGCTTTCTCTTTCAAAATCTAAGACTTACATGGCAAAAGATACCACACAGAATAATCTGCTGGTGCTGAATTTTCTATTGAGAGCCTCTATGATAAATTAAGTATACATTAATTCACACTACTTCATCACCATCAAACTAATGCTTGCTCCCCACCACCATCCCCCATTTTTTAGACAAGGTCTCATGTTGCCCAGGCTGGTCTTGAACTCCTGGACACAAGCAGCTCTCCCTCCTCAGCCTCCCTAGTAGCTGGGTTTAGTAGCACACACCACCACACCTGTCTGCTCCCTCATTTGGAGCAATACTTGCAAGATTGTAAATATGTTAGGGCCAATTGTGTTCCCACTGCTTTCAGATACATTTTTGAGAAAAGCCAGGAATAACCATAAGTTTTTACTACCAACTTTATGAATATGTATCCGGGAACAGTGGAACAGTACTATTAATATATTTTGTGTTCTGTAACCTTGACTTCTCATGGGTGAAAAATCTTGTTTAATTGACTTGATAAGCAGTTTATTATGATTGAGAATATACTATGTTATTGTGATTATTTTTAAAGCTCTTATGAGAGATATACTCTGAAATATTGGTAGATGAAAGGATATCTGGGATTTGTTTCTAAATAATTAAAAGTAGGGGCGGGGAAGAATATAGAGGAACAAAATTAACCATGGGTTGATAGCTTCAAATTTTCATTTTGTTTCTATTTTTCAGAGACAGGGTCTCGCTGTCACCAGTGCTGGAGTGCAGCGGCCTGATAATAGGTCACTGTAACTTTGAACTCCTGAGCTCAGGCCATCCTCCTGCCTCAGCCTCCTAAGTAGCTGGGACTGCAGGCACATACCTCCATGCGAGGCTAATTTTTTAATTATTTTGTAGAGATGGGGGTCTCACCGTGTTGTCCAGGCTGGTCTTGAACTCCTGGGCTCAAGCAGTCCTCCCGCCTCAGCCTCCCAAAGTGTTGGGATTACAGGCTTGTGACACACCATGCTGGCCTCAAATTTTCTAAACTAAAATAGTTTTAAAAAGCACAACAAAAGATAAATCATTTGTTTGGTTGTAAAAAATACAAGGTGGTTAAAACCATAGGTTTGGCGTTTAAGTAACCGTGAGTTAGAATACTGGCCCTGCTACCTACTAGCCTTTGATTTTAAGCAAGTTTTAACTTTCTGATCCTCTGTTTCCTCATCTGTAAAATGGGCATAATTACACTTGCCTAATAGAGTTGTTAGAAGAATGCACATTGATATGTGAAGCTATTAGCTCAGTACTGAATACAAAGTCAAGTGCCTGCAATCTCTGAAATCTTTGGTGAAACCAGCCAACTTTACTGCTATGTCAGTGCAGTATGGAAATGATTGAAGATGTAACTAAATCTCCACTGCTGTGTCTCGTGTTGTCATCCTCACACTACTTTGGCAAACCCTCCTTGCTTGTGTCTCCTTTCTGTTCTCGAGATTTCTACTTCTGTATGACTTGCATAGCAAGGACTAGTTTACAGAGTCACTTCTATACATATCTTATTTGACATGGTGATGTTATAACTTAAAATGGAGGTAGGGGTCAGGTTAGGTGAGATGGTAAATGGTAATACTTTATAAATAACATTTGATTTTTTTTCTAATTATAAATTAATGTGAGCATTGTTAGAAATTTAGAAAATATAGAAAAATGTAAAGAAAATTTATTTTCTACAATATCTTTGGCACTAACCTTTTCATAGTTTGGTGAATTTCTTTCAAGTCTTTTATAAATAAATAAGGGAAAATGTATATGCCTTTTAATTTTTTTTCTTTTTAAGAACTCAGATCCTACTATATATAGTTTTGATTCTGCTCTTTGCATTTAATATTATATCATGATTACTTCCCCATATTAAGAGACAATAGTATGAAAATGGCTTTCATATCAGATCTGTATTGAAATCCCAGCTTTACTATTTATAGTGTTCATGGTTGTGGGTAGTCACTTCTCCTCTGAACTTGTGTCTCGTTCCTGTCATGAGGATACTATTCTTAACTGCAGTGGGCTGAGTGAGGATTAGAAATCATAGGTAAAGCCCTTGGCACATAACCCAGGTAGTAGAAAATACTGAAAACTGGGAGTTGTGATACCATTATTATTATTATTTTTGGTTTTGTTTTGTTTCTGAGACAAGTTCTTACTGTGTTCCCCAGGCTGGAGTATAGTGGCATGATCATACTTCATAGTAACCTTGAACTCCTGGGCTCAAGTGATCTTCCTACCTCAGCCTCCTGAGCAGCTGGGACTATAGGTGCACACCACTACGCCCAGCTAATTAAAAAAATTTTTTGTTGTTGTTGAGATGAGGTTGCTATGTTACTCAGGCTGGTCTCGAACTCCTGGCCTCAATTGCTCTCCTGCCCCGGCCTCCCAAAGTGCTGGGATTTACAGGTGAGAGCCACCAGGCCCGGCCCTTATTGTTTATAACATTCTTCAAAAACTATTTTTAATGACATTGTTTCATCACATGAAATGTGATATGAAGGTAAGAAAAAATAGTAAAGAAATGTACTGTTTTTGTGTGTTGGGGGAGAACTGCTATAAGGTTGTAATTTAAACATTTTCTCACAGAAAAGAAAAAAAAACCTAATGAGTATAGTCCATTCTGCTTCCATTCTGCTACAAAGCATCTACATGCTGGATAAATTAGAAGAAGCATACTTTTAAAATTTACACTTTATTGAAGTATAAAGTACATTCTAAAAATTACTCATGAACATACAACTCAGTGCATCTCTACAGTGGAAACACATTCTCGAAGCCAGCAGGAAACCATTACTAAGCCCTTCCAGAAGCTCCTTTAGCCTCCCGTTCCCTCAAGCGACACAAAAATCCCTTTCTCCCAAGAGTAATTACTATCATGACCTCTATCACTATAGAGGATTCTCTCCTGCATTTGAATTGGGTCTTCATGAATGTGGCTTGATTGCTCAGTGTTATATCTGTGTGATTCACCCATGTTGTATGTGGCAGGAATTACATGTTGTTCATTTTCTCTGCAGCTCTGCTCAGCTGGGGATTCTGCCAGAGAATTAAGCCCTCATGTGCTAAGGAACCCACTGTATGTAGTTGAAGTAGTTTCTCTCCTGTGCATCTAGGATGGTAGTAGCCACGTGTCATCCGTGGGAGAATTGGGAATATAGTTAAATCATTTTCCATAGGGCTTAACTCTCAGAGAATCCCAACAAAGGCTGTGAGCCTTAGCTTTTCTGTTTTTTACCATCTGCCAGCTCACCATTACCTCCCAGCAGATGACCTTTGTCCACTTATCTGGCTTTTCTAGATGTTCTCTGTGAGAGTGCTGGTTTGCTGCAAGCTGCTCCATCCGAGCAGTGCAAGTCCAGCAAACATGCTTTCAATGCACGGCTGAGCTCCTAGGAAATAAGGGAAATTCCCAGGGACCAAATAAAGGGAAGAAGGAGCTGAAACCCCAGCAGGTAAAAGAGCAGGGGAGCCAGGCTGCCCTTAGACATTGCAGGAACTTGGACCCTAGAGCCTTGGATTTTTAACAGGTGTTGAGGGAAAAGGCACATTGGAACTGTGTCCCTCTCCTCCTCAGCCCATAATCTAGGATGCTCAAAAAGCTATGTTCCTTCAATGGAAGAGGGCTAGGAAGTAAAATCCTCCTAGTGGCGATACAATGTGTTGTAGCTCTGTGGGCGAGGAGAAGGGAGGGAGTTCATATTGTTCCTGCTGAAGATCTGATCCGCAGCCTCTCCTCACAGGCCTTTGGTGTTTGCCATTAAACTACCTCTGATGCCCAGGAAATCCCAAGTCTAGAAATAAAAAATTACTCTTCACACAAAGTAACTGCATACTTATTAAAGATGTTCAAATTTAGGCAAATAAATCTCACTATAAAACTCAACTTTACACGATAAACAGTAGCTCTGTGGAACTCCAGTCTTAGAAGTATTTACTAGCACCATTGTTCTGTTGGCCTTACAATATGTTGACATAGTTGAGATTGGAATCTTGATGTTGAGACAGTATCACACAAGTGGGATAGCCATCTGCCCTTTTGATGCTGTTTTATCAAAGCTCAGCAGCCGAGTGTGGTGGCTCATGCCTGTAGTCCCAGCTACTTGAGAGGTTGAGCAGGAGGATCACTTGAGCCCAGGAGTTTGAGGTTGCTCTGAGCTAGGCTGACACCACGGCACTCTAGCCTGGGCAACAGAGTGAGACCATGTCTCAAAAAAAAACAGCTCAAGATTATCGTGTATCCAAAAGCTTCTGTCTCCCTGTGACTGGTTCCTGGTATTCCTCTTGCATAAGGCTTTGTTCCTTGAAAACCTCTATCATATACTGTATCCTTTTTAGTTGTAAATGAACCTTTTAAACAGTTAAATTATTGCTAGAAAATTATTATGCAGGTACCACTCTTCATCCTGTAAGGTGAAGGGAGGAGCCTGGTACAGACAAACCGATAGGAAGATTTGTATAAATGAACATATTCTTGGAGCAGCATTGGCCACTCCTTTCCTTCCTGCCTACCCCCCAACATGTTTTGAGTGCCTACTGGATGCCAGGCATTGTACTGTCGGGAAGGCTACAGATATGACTCAATCATGGTTCCTCCTGCCTTGGAGTTCACATTCCAGCTGAGCACCGAGTTTGCCCCTAGCAACCACACAAATGTACGAGAGTGAAATGACTCCATTGTGTGATTCCTTCCACTAAAAATATTGATGTTTTTTGAATTTCTGATGTGTTGTCTTCAGCTTTTGGAAAAAGATAATTACCACAGCTATGTATATAATTAAGCATGTGAAAATATTGGCTGGCTAGCAGGACACCAGGTACTATAGTTTTTCAAGCAAATGAATAGGTTAATGAATCAAAAGTTAATTTTTACATATTGCTAATTTTACCACTACAAATCTCTTTAGGATGATGTGAGGCATAAGGTTCATCTGAATACCTTTGGGTTCTTCAAGGATGGGTACATGGTGGTTAATGTCAGCAGCCTGTCAGTGAAGGAGCCTGAAGGAGACAAGGATACCACTGTAAGTACTTTTTTTTTTTTTTTTCCCGGCATATTATGGGGGTACAGATTTTAAGGTTTCAATAAATGCCCATTTTCCCCCCTGTAAGTACTTTTTAATGAGATAAAGTGGTTTATTCTTTTAGTTTAGGTGAAAGAGTCACCTTCCATCCCCATTGCCTAAATATAAAGTATCAGAATAAGGAGAAAAGCAAACTTGTGAGTACCAAATTATATATTAGACATCAGATAGTTTTACTTTTAACACTTAAGTTGCAATTCTTGAATAATTCTAGTAGTTAGTGATTTTACTTGAGCAGATAAATGCAAAATGAATGCTAAGTAAGAAAACTGAGAGGAAGCCAGGCCAGAAGAATCACCTTTTCCGCTCTGAATAGGAAAGTTATTTCTAGTCTCTGCTCTCTTTTAGGTTGGGTTCAGCCTAGACCGTACAAAGAATGATGGCTTTGCTTCTTACCTGGTGAGTATTAAATGCTGCATGACCTGATCACTGTCTTTACTTGAGCCCAAGCCACTGAGTGGGAATACCCTACTTCTTGCAGTCCCATTTCCTCTAGGTAGTGGCTGCTTTGACTGCCAAGCGTTTCTGAGTACCCCAGGTGGTTTACTGTTTGGAATGGAGGTTGAGCCACTCATTTGCCTTGTTCCTAAAACTTTTCTGTTCTTGTTCTCATGTGAAGAAAGAAGATAATATACAATTGGTTCTTCCTTTCTCAGGATGAAGATGTGAATTACTGTATTTTAAAGAAACAGTCTGCCTCTGTCACCCTTCTAATCCTAGACATCTCCAGAAGTGAGTAAGTAATTCTAATGTTCCTTCAGTTCAGTCCTAGAGTAGAGTTGGGGAGAATTTGTTGTACAGTAACATTCCTCAGGTGACTGCCCTGTGCCAAATACTGAATGAGTGCTGGAGACTAAAAACAAGGTGAGGGAGACACAGGTTCCATCCTTGAGGGGTTTGTATAGATGAGTGAGGGAGACAGGACAGCAATACAGATGATCACAGCCAAGCAGAGAAGCGGTGAGGAAGAAAACTCACGGGTTGTATTAATAGAAGGGAAGGGAAGGCTTCAGGCAAGAGTTGGCTGAAGCAGCCTTCTATGGACCAGGCTTTTACAAGATGTATAAGAAAGGGAAGAGCGTTACAGGTAGAGGGAGCAGTCTCTGCTGAGGCAGCGTTGCATGAAATAACGTGTTTTGTTCAGTAAGCTGGATGCGTTATTGAGAATACAGTTGGAAGGGAACATGGTAAGAAATAGGACTGGATTCAAACAGTGGCTTCTGCCATACAGCAACTGTGTGACTCTGGGCCTCAGTGTCCTTACCCACCTCATAATGATAGTATCTGCTTCGTAAGATTGTTGGTGAGGATTTCTGGCGTTTACCTGGCCACTTGATAGGTCCCTGATGTGTAGTTTCTAAGGGAGCCTGACAGGTTTTAAACTAGGAGTAGTGTGCTCAGACTTGTTTTTGAGATAGACCACTAGCAGCCCAGAAGAACATGGATTTGAGATGAACAAGACTGGAGGTAGGAAGACTAATGAAGAAGCATCTAAAAAAAAAGTGGTTTGCCATAAAACTATTGTAGACTCTAACTTTATATTCTTCATGATAACATCTTTTTTTATTTATGAAAATTAATCTGACACTGTCTTATATTAGTTAAGGTGCTTTTTTGATAGCAACAAAATACTTGACTTAGACTGGCTTAAACAGTGAAGACATTGATCACCTCACCTAGCTGAGGTGGGACAGTAGGGTTCCAGGTGAGGGGCAGGTCAGCAGTGGCTTACTGCTATGAGGGATTCAAGTGCCTTTCATCTCTCTGCTCTGCCCCCCCTCCGTGTTCGTCTCTTCCTCAGGCGGGTTTCACCAGCCATCACTAGATGGCTCTGCTTCTGTTTTGTTTGTTCGTATCCAGCCAAGGGAAAGAGAGAAGGCTCCTCCCCCAGTCAGGATGAGGTGTGCCTGAATGTGCTGGTTTAGGTCTCATTGTTCACTCACACATGGAAGCTGTCACTGGCCACTCCTGGGGTGAGATAGGGTAAACAAAGTTCAGTCTGTTAAGAAGGGGAAAGGCAGACATGGATGTTAGGCAGGCAACTGATAGGGCCCACTGCCTTCTCATGCTCCCTGAGATTTCACTTTAATGTCTTATTGGTTTCTTACCTCTTGTTCCATTTCCCTTGTGCATCAATTTGCTGAACATTTTAAGATACTTAGGGAAAATACGTACAGCAGAATTGTGTCGTTGCTGAGAACTTAGGCTTTAGAATGAGGCTGCCTGGATCTACTAGCTACTTCCTAGCTTGGTGCCCCTGGGCACGTTTTTACCTTTTCTGAGCCTCAGTTTCAGCATCTGTAAAATATGGGTAAGAGAATCTACACTATAAAATATTGTAAGGACTAATGAGCTTAACACAATGCCTAGCATGCAGCACTTAAATGGCCAGGAGCACTGCTTTGAACTTTTTTCCTTCTATGTTATTTGAATGCAGAGTAAGAATAAAGTCTCCACCAGAAGCTGGTACCCAGTTACCAAAGATTATCTTCAGCAAGGATGAGAAAGTCCTTGGTCAGAGCCAGCAGCCCGATGTTATCCCTGTTTCAGCAGGCAACCAGATTCAGAAAAAACAAGGTAAACTATTATAAAAGGTGGAAACTAGCGTTTAATTTTCATACCCTACTTTGTAGATCCTTTTTTGTTCCTAAGTAAAAGCAGACATGTTCTGTGTCTTAGCATTATTTTATTTTGGAGGCTATACAAAAACATATAAACATTAAAGAAAAATATGGAAAATACAGAGAAGTTGGGAAAAGAACAGTCATTTCTCTTTATTCCCAGTGTTAGAAGTTTGGTAATTTATGTTTTCTTATAAGCTTATTTCATAAGCCTAGAACATTTGATTTTTAAAATTCATAGTCATGTTTATAATTTATATGTATGCCTATTTACTTTAACCTATTTCATACATCTCAAATATCCTGTTTAGTGTCTACTATAATTTGCTTAAGGAGACACATTTCCATTTTTATGCTGTTGTGAATAGTGCTGCATTGGACTTCTCTTTGCATAGAACTTTTTCATATAGAGAACTTATTTTAGCATGGGCTCGCAGAATTAGAATTTCTGGTTCAAAGGATATGAATGCTTTTGAGAATATTGATACATGTATGTTCAAATTCCTTTCCAAATGAGTTGTGTGAATTTATACTCCTATCAGAAATATATAGGAATAGTGTGCACATCACCATGTCCTAGACAATACTAGGTATTTTCTTTTCTGAAAAAAATTCTAAAATGAAAGGCAAAAAAATGTATTCCTTTTCTTATATTTACTCTTATTACAAAAGCTGCATTTTTTGCTATATGTTGATTAATCAATTTATATTTATTACCTCTTTTATTAACCAACAGGTCCATCTAATGATTTATATGAGTTCTTTAAAGATAATTTATGACTTACTGTATTTATGATTTCTTAGTTTGTCAGAACCTGACCTCAATTAAATTTAATACAGAAATATTACATTTGTGTGGTGGTGTGCATTTTAATGTCTGTGCACCATCTCCTCCTTGTCCAGGTGCCTTGTGCTCTCATAACCATTTCCTAGGCAGAAAATAGTCTTTTATTTCTTTTTATTCTGAAACTTTCTCCCTTCCTGCAGGGAGCTTGAAATTCTGTGTTCTCTGTAAAGAGTATCTTATGTAAAAATAAGGGATAGGTACTCACTCTGTTCCATGAAAGAAGCCATTAGCAATCTTAACACTCCTTGCTGTGGGTAAAAAATGCATTATGCTAATATTATTTGCTATTACTTCTTCCATGTGTGTAAATAAATCTCCTACATTATATGTTTTTAAAAAGTTATCTGTTTTCAAATGTGATAACTTAGGAAGGAAAGCCATCCCATGTGGCATCTCTGGCAATGCCATACACGAGATTATTCAGAAATGAGTTTCCCTGCTGGTGCTAGTATCATTTACTAGATACCATATAAAATATATTAATAATTTCTGATTTACTGCTTCTGCAGCTCAAGGATTATGTCTTGGGGCCGGGCATGGTGGCTCACATCTGTAATCCTAGCTCTCTGGGAGGCCGAGGTGGGTGGATTGCTCGAGCTCAGGAGTTCCAAACCAGCCTGAGCGAGACCCTGTCTCTACTAAAAATAGAAAGAAATTAATTGACCAACTAAAAATATATATACAAAAAATTAGCCGGGCATGGTGGTACATGCCTGTAGTCCCAGCTACTTGGGAGGCTGAGGCAGGAGGATCGCTTGAGCCCAGGAGTTTGAGGTTGCTCTGAGCTAGGCTGACACCACGGCACTCTAGCCTGGGCAACAAAGCGAGACTCTGTCTCAAAAAAAAATAAAAAAAAAAAAATATATATATATATATATATACAAAAAATTAGCTGGGCATGGTGGCGCATGTCTGTAGTCCCAGCTACTCAGGAGGCTGAGGCAGTAGGATCACGTGCGCCCAGGAGTTTGAGGTTGCTGTGAGCTAGGCTGACACCATGGCACTCACTCTAGCCTGGGCAACAAAGCGAGACTCTGTCTCAAAAAATAAATAAATAAATATGTCTTGGGACCTGAGGATATGGTAGTTCATAAGATTTTTTTGTTTGTTTTAATTATTTGATATTAGATAATCTGGAGCCTCATAAAATGATACTAGGATATATAAAACAGTGTATGTATGTGTATATATATGTGTGTATATATACTGTTGAATTATGCAGTAATATCTTTCAAATGTGTCTGCTCCTAGACAGTGGAAAGTCTAAAAGAAGTACAGTGGATCCAAAGGTAAGAATCAACCACCCACTGTGCTCAGTATTTTGGGGCATGCACATATATGTGTGTGTGTTATATTTATATATATATATATACATATATGCATGCTCACACATATACATATACAGTCATCCCTTGGATACTGGATACTGAAATCAAGTGCTCAAGTCCCTCATATAAAATGGTATAGTATTTGCATGTAATCTACACCCATTCTCCTGTTTACTTTAATCTCTAGATTATTTATAATACCTAATACAATATAAATCCAATATAAATAGTTGTTAGATTCTATTGATTTTTTATTTGTATTATTTATTTAAAAAATATTTTTGATTCACAGTTGCTTTAATCAATAGATACAGAGCCCTCGTTACAGAGGCCAACTGTATATATGTACATGCCTAATCTACAGTAGGTGTCTTCTGTTTAGGAAGATAGTGTTGACATACTGAAAACAATTTCAGAGGAAAATTGAGTACTAAGTACACAGTACTTGGTGGTTGAGGAGGGAGAAGCCAAGCCATCTGGAGAGCCCTCTGGAGGAAGGTGTCACCAGGGCTGAGCTTTGAGTTTGTTCAGAGACGAGAAGGAAGGGGACGAAGAATATCATAAGCAAAGACTAGATGGTGGGAATGTGCATGACAAATGCTGGGCACTGGCCTATTTGAAGTAAAAGGTACATATTGGGGAGCAGAAAGACAGATCTGAGATAATATAGGGCCAGATGGTAGAGGAAATTGATGTGCAGGCAATAGGAAGTTGTCATGAGTTCTTGATCAGGAAAGAACGTGATACAAATAGTGTTTATTGAAGACCATCATTCTGAAAGTAATGTGTGGGGCAGCCTTGAAGAGGGAGAGAGTAACATGAGAGGGACCAGGACGTTGTTGTGATAATACAGGTTTAGGTGATGAGGATTTGCCCTAGTGCCAGGCCTTGCGATGTAAAATAAGGGACCCTCTGGGAGGCCAGTTAGGCTGGTGGGCCGGGAGAGAAAAGCAGAGGAGAGCGTGGTAGAAGTGCAGAAGTGGGAAAATTGGGAAAGTTTTGGTTGGAAATATCTTGATTTTTTTCAGTGAAGGCGACATCTAAATGGCAATGTTCTATTTTAACAGCTTTGTTGAGATATAGTTGACATACAGTGAATTGCACATGCTTAAAGTGACAATTTGATATTTGATTATCAGTCAAGATAGCGAAACCCAAAAGGTTTCTCCTGCCTCTTTGTAATCCTCTCATCCCCAAGTAACCACGGATCTGTCACTATAGTATAGTTTTATAGAACTTTTTATGAATGATTTATGCATAGCTCTTTATTCTTCTTTTATTCAGCATAATTACTTTGAGTTCATCCACAATGTTGCATGAATTAATAGTTTCTTTTTATTGCTTAGTATTAGTCCATTGTACAAAGGGCAATATTTTGATCATTTGAAGTCAGGAATAGAGTTCAGGTGATGTCAGAATGTGGCCTGACTCAGTATCCTTAGTCTTGCTGAAGCTTCAGGAGCAGAGAAGCACTCCAGCAGGAAGATTCTGGGGCAAGGGATTGCAGGTAGAATGTTACCGGAGAGGCAGAAGAGACAGCTGAAGAAAGGAAATAGGTGAAGAATACCATTCTCTGTGAAAGGGGATTTCAAATATCTTGAAAGGATAGTGAATTTTATTTTCAGAGAGCTTTTGAAGGTCAGTAAATTTAGGGTTTAAGAAAAAGCAAGGGTGGTTTGGGTTTTTTAATTAGTTTAATTTTAATTAACATACTTTTTTTTTTTTTTGCCAGTACTATCCTTAAACAGATTGTTATGTCATTTTAGGCAAGGGAAGAGAACTCCTTTTCTATTCATAATAATGATGGGGCAGTTTCATTTCAGGTATGTATTCTCTTTGTTTAATTTATCTCTATCATGTAAAAGAGTAATTTTTAAAAGGAATTTTGAATTTAGGAATAATAACTTAGGCATACATACCATGTATCAGTTACTTGAATACAGTAGCTTTCTCTGTACCAACCTATAAGGTGGATATTATTATCCACCCACTTATCAAATCATAAGTCTCTGAGAATGAATAACTTTGTGAATGTCCAGTATAAATGGCAAGGCCCAGGTCCCAATCTAGTTCTGTCAGGCTGTTCCTTTGGAACCCTCCACCTCTTTGAGCCCATGCTGTGTCCCATTTAGAGTGTGCCAGAAGCATAGCATCCTATACTAGAAAGGACCGTTGGTGATGATTTAGGGTTGATGAATTTTAGAGATGAGTTCATTGAGACTCAGAGGCCTTGAGTGACCTACTCAGCTGTCACAGTTATTAATTGCACATGAGTGTTTTTTGGAACCATCAATGCTTATATATGGGGACAAGATATTGGACTGGGTCTTAGAACCCACTTATTAGCTGGGTGACTTTGGGGATAATTCCCTTAATTTCTGAATCTCACTGTGTAATCGTCCAAAAATAAAAAAAAATATGAGACCTATCTCATAGGATTCTTAGGAGCTTTTTTTTTTTTTTAGTAAAAGTGCTTTGTAAAGCATTGTACACATAGTGTTTTATTATTAACTTGTAAGAATCACTGCCTCTTTTCTAACCAGTTTTTATTATACTAATTGAGGTATAATTTGCTTACAGTGAAATGTACAGGTCTGAAGTGTACAGTTTGATTAGGTTTGACAAATGCATGTATCCATGTAATCCACTCTCTATCAAGATTCTGTATGTTTTTATCTTCTCAGAAAGTCCCTCCACCCCTGCAACCACTGTTCTGGTTTCTTTCATCATAGATCATTTTGCCTAACAGGTTTTATATGTTCTTTAAGTTTAGTAACCATCATTCTCATCACCATTGATATTAATAGCTAACAGTTACTGAGAGCTTGTAGGATGCTCATTTGCTCAGAATCCTCCACCAGCTTTCCATTTGTCTCAGAGTAAAAAACTCAAGTCCTCCCACTGGCCTGCAAGGACCACATGCTCTGGTCTCCGTTGTCTCTGTGACCTTAACTCCTGCTGTTTTTCCCCTTGCTTACTCTGCCCCCCACACAGGCCACTTTGCTCTTCCTTGAAAAGATCAGGCCTTAGGCTCTGATCTGGCTGTTCCCACAGGCAGGAATGCTCATCTGCAAGAATCTTTCATCTTTGCTCAAATGTCACCTTCTCAACAAAGCTTCCCCTGATCACCCTATTTTCAGTGTAGCCCACTCCCGTTCCTCCTTGTCTTGCTGTTTTCCCTGAGCACTTATCCCTTCTAACGTGCTGTATGCTGTGCTCATTTATCATGTTTATCGTCTGTCTTCCCCTCTATAGCAGCTGGCCTTAAGGGTATGGGTTTTGTGTCTTTTATTACTGATGTGTATGAAACTGCTAATCTTGAGCCTGGCCTATAATAGGCTCCCCAGTAATTATGGAGATGACTGGACTCCATAGCCAGGCATTGTGCTAAGTGCTTATCCGTCATTATCTCAGTTCATCTTCCCAGCAACTCTGAAGTAGGTGCTGATATTATTCCCCGTTTACAGATGAGGAAACTGAGGCTTATAGAGGTGAAATAACTTGCCTAAGGGCGGGATTCAGATCCAGGTTTGTTTGACTCGAAGGCTTTACTGCCTACTTTAGAAAATATAAAATGTGCTTTCCTGTCTTCCTTCCCTCACTTCATTCATTCATTCATTCATTCATTCATTCATTCATTCTGAGACAGCCTTGCTGTGTCGCCCTGGTTGGAGTACAGTGGCATGATCATAGCTCACTGCAGCCTCAATCTCCTGGGCTCAAGCGATCCTCCTGCCTCATCCTCCCAAATAGGTGGAACTACAGGCACACGCCACCATGCTTAGCTAATTAAAATAGTAATAATAATTTGTAGAGATAGGGTCTCACTATGTTGTCTAGGCTTATCTTGAACTCCTGGGATCAAGGGATCCTCCTGCCTTGGCCTCCCAAAGTGCTGGGATTATAGGCATGAACCACCCTGCCCAGCCAAGAGTATTTTATACCCAAAGAGCAAAATAAGATGTTGGCTTAAAAATTAGATAACTGCATCTTAGGTTATCTTTGCAGACATTTGCAAAAAACCATCACAGGTGGATAGATTTGTATTTAAGCAAGTATAGTAAAATGTTAATTGTAGAAGCTAGGTAGTGGGTATTTAGTTGTTCACTGTACAATTCTGTCAGTCAGCTGTTCTGTATGCTTGAAAATAGTTTTAGCAAAATATCAGGGAGATCATAGAATAAGAAAACATGTTTAAACTCTGCTCTGGGAGAATTTAGTTAATTTAAGTAGTCTATCTTTATTTTCTTCTGTCCAGTAAAATTTACAATTTATTTCTCCCATCCAAGTACTAACCAGGCTTGACCCTGCTTAGCTTCCAAGATCAGATGAGATCAGGAAAGTTCAGGGTGGTATGGCTGTAGACCACAGTTTATTTCTAAAATTTAAAAGTATAGCTGAGGATTTGGGTACCCTTAAATGTTTTTTGCCTTTACTTTCAGTTTTTCTTTAACATCAGCACTGATGACCAAGAAGGCCTGTACAGTCTCTATTTTCATAAATGCCGTGGAAAGGACTTGCAGTCTGGTGACAAGTTTTCTTTCAGTCTTGATGTGAGTACCATATGGAGACTGTTCCACGTGGTGAGGCATTTGTATCTCTATAAGAATTGATTTTAAGAACACATAAGAGAAAAATGTGGCCAGTCACACATCTCTGCCAGTGGGCAAGATGCTTCAGCAGAGGATTCATAAATAAGAAAATGTAAAGCAATTTAGGGTGAGTTTACACACTTCAACCTCTGCATTAAGAATGTGGAGTGCTTGTTATCTGCTGGTACTCAATTTTTTTTTTTTTTTTTTTTGAGACAGTATCTCGCTCTGTCCCCCAGGCTGGAGTGCAGTGGCATGATTGTAGCTCACTGGGCCTTGAACTCCTGGGTTCAAGCAATCCTGCCTCCACCTCTGGAGTAGGTGTGCACCACCAGGCTTGGCTAATTTTTCAAAATTTTATGTAAAGATGGGGTCTTTTTATGTTGCTGAGGATGGTCTTGAACTCCTGGCCTCAAGAGATTATCCTTCTGTGGCCTCCCAAGGTACTGGGATTATAGGCATGAGCCACCATGCCTGGCCTCACTTTCTTAAGCTTAAGTGAAATAGCTGAGATTCCAAATTGTTGAATAAGGCACAGTCTATTCCTGAAAAGTAAAAATGAATTTCATATTGGTTTCAGATTGATATCACAGAGAAGAATCCTGACAGCTACCTCTCAGCAGGAGAAATTCCTCTCCCCAAATTGTACATTTCTATGGCATTTTTCTTCTTCCTTTCTGGGACCATCTGGATTCATATCCTTCGAAAACAACGGTAAATTATTACTTCCTTGAGTCCTTCAACTTAGAGTGTGTTCAGTTTTGTATAATTTCACCTTTTGTTGGCTTCTGAACCTGGGAGGAGTTGGCACTACACAATCTTGTTTTCTTCCTCTTCTCTTCCAAGGGCATCTTCCCTGGAACACCAGGGAGAGTGCACAGGAGCCTTACTTTTGGGGAGGCCTTCGCAAGCCTTGGTGTTTATTCATATCCCATTGTTTTGTTTAAAAAGCAAATGTGAATATTTCAATAATATATAAGCAAAATAAGATATATAAGCAAAGAGTTTCCATAGCAGAAACCCCACAGTTCAGGACTCAGAGCGAGCATGTTGGTTCCACTCAAGGGCTGTTTATTCTTGAGAGGAAGTTAGTTACCGTGACCCACTGCTTGGCAAGAGCATCAAGTCACTGCTTAGTCCTGAAAGCATTAGTCCAAGGCCTGGTGGAGATAGAGTCTCTGCTTGCTACTGGAGAAAACATCTTCAAAGTCCGTCTACCTGGCTTTTGGCCTTTTTTCTGAAACCCCCGAGGCTTTAACTTCCTGTTCTTGGTTCTTCAGGGAGCAGCTGCATACACCTGAATTCTCTGTCTCTCTCTGAGAAAATTGAAAATAAAATATTAATATTCAGTTAGAGAATAGTGTGAAGTACTTGTTATAAGGCCTGTAAACTGAGTACATGATGGTATGTGAATATGATTTAATATTATTATATGGCTTGATTTAAATTCATAAAATAATCACCTGCAAATACCTCTTTGTCTGAAGCATTGGGGCAGACACTCTTTAATCCCTAGTGGCCTCATTGTTTTCTAAGGGACATGCTCAGAATCTTGTGCGTGGGTTCCGCTGGGTGCAGTTGCTGGCGCCTACTTGTTGTACTATCCTGTATCCCCACCACATGGAAAGAGTTTCTTGTTTACTTGTGAAGGACCTCCATAATCATATTTAGACTACATTATCAGGTAGCCATTACTAAGAAGGAAAGTATCCTACAAATTTAGGCCATAGAAGGTTCTTTTTTTTTTTTTTTTTTTAAGAAAGTTTTACTTCTGCCTTTATTAGAAAAGTAAGGACAAGGAGTCAGAAGACCTGATTTCAAGTGTCAACTTTGACTGTGACTTCCTGTGTGCCTTGCTTCACTCTAAATCTCTTTTTTTCCCTGACTACAAAACTGGGACATTAATAATTACTCTGCCTTCCTCTTGGAGTCTTAGATTCTTAGATTGGTTATGTGATTCCCCCCAGAATAATGTATATGAGAGGGCTTTTCAAGTCAGGGTGCTACACAAATGTGAGGTGCTTATAAAATAGTTTCCAAGTGTTCAGTGGTATTTTAATTTTCCTTTTAGTTAGTGATGGCAATAGTCACTTGTTCCCTTATATAAAATTGTGGTAACAGTTTTAAATTTGTCGTTAAATGAGGCTGACCTACTTTGTACAAGTCTCACCTCTAACTTTTGTTGGAGTATAGAGTACATACAAGAATGTCTCATTTAAGACCCGACCTCCCCCTCTGTTCCCCCACTCCCATTTTCCCAGGAGTCTTATAGCTAGTTCTGGTAGGTTGGAAATCCAGGTGATATAAAGGCATGTGGTTTCACAGATACCAGATACATTTCACAGTCTATAGCCCCTTAAGCTAGAAGGAACTGAGAGATCTTTGTTTCATTTAGTGAGGCCCAGAGAGAGGAAGTGAGAGACGTGGCCATCATCGCCTGACAGAGCTGGAATTGGAACCCAGGTCTCAACTCTGAGTGTAGATAGAGCTAGTATTTGAGCCCAGGTCAGTGTAGCTTCAGAGCTTTGTTCTTTCTATCATAGCACTGCCCCTGCATTGATGTTTTAACTGTGGACTGCAAGTCAAGGTTGCCAGGGTGTGTGAGTGAGCACAGGTTTTGCCCCTGGGTAAGTCTCATTGCCATTCAGTAGTGACAGACTACTCTGGCCTTCACTTCCTTTTTGACCTTCAAGTAGGTGGGCACTGGGACAGGAAAGTACTGAGGAGGAAATGAGCCCGGAAACTGAATGTGCGTCAGTTTGTAGCATGCTTTCATTGTCACTCTGTGTAAGGTCCCTTTCCTATTATTATTATTCCCCTTCACTTCCTGTCCCCTCTCCCACTCCTTCCCAGCGTGGATAGCCACTCAGATGTGTTTAACATGCATTTTTGGATATGTTTTTTTTTAATATATAAATGAGAATGTTTATTGGTGTTGTGTGTATTTTAAATATGTATATAAGCTGTACTATTCTTGTACATTTTTCACTCAGTAATACCTTTTTTTAAGATGTGGCCACCTGGCTATGTGTGCATCCAACTCATGGATTTTTACCTACTCCGGAATATTCCATACCCTGCATCCACAGTTTATTGCTCTGTCCCTTTAGTGATGGACACATGCCTAGGTTGCCTCTATCTCCCTGCTAGCCCAGCAGGGCTGTCATGAACCTCCCTCCTGCTCCTGAGATCCCCTGTGGGTCTGTGCAGCCCAGGAGCTATAGTCTCAGAAGGAGGCACACTGGGTCATAGGTAGACTCTCATTTAATTTTGCTAAGTGCTGCCTGGTTGCTCCCCAGTATGACAGCACCAGTTTATATTTCTGCCCAGCGGTGCATGAGGGTTCCCGTTTCCCCACATACTCCCCAGTACTAATATCTTAATTTTTGCCAGTCTAATGGGTATAACTGGTACCTTGTTTTATTTTGCATTTTTCTGAATATTAGTGATGTGGATTATCATTTCAGGGACTTATTAAACATTTGAATTTTTCCCCTTGGGACTGCCTGTATTCTTTGCATATTTTTTTGTTGGGTTTTCTTTTTCTTGTTGCTTTGTTTGAGTTTCTTGCATATTCTAGATATCCATTGTCTGTCTTAGACACTGCAAATTTATTCTTCCAGTCTGTTAAACTTGTATGTAGTATTCATCGTTGAATACAAATCTTTCATTTTAATAGAGTCAAGGCTGTGTAATTTTAGTCTTTTGGGCTTGGGCAGTGCCTGTTGGATCTTAGGAAACCTTTTTCTAACTCAAAGTTCACAAAATGTGTATTTTATATTTAGAGCTGAAATCTGTCTGGAATCCCCTTATACAAGTGTGGAGTAGACATCCAGCTTTGTTCTTGTGTATAAGTTCGAGCTGATTTTTTCCCCATGTTAATTATTACACAGTCTATACTTTTCTCACCAATTTGCTATCACCTTATCATATAACAAGCTTCCCTACACGCATGAATCTATTTCTGAGTTCTCTAGTCTATTCCATTGGTTTATTTGTCTGAATAACAAATAAACTGCACTTCTAAGCACATTTTTTACTGCTCTGGCTTTGCAGAATGTCTTGATATCTGAGAGTGTGAGTTCTCTCCTTGTGGCTCTTCTTACTCAAGTCTTTGTATATTAATACTTTATTAATAGAGTTTTCTATTTTCCTGCATAATAGTCTTATCTGTCCTATTAAGTTAATTCTTAGGGGCAAGTGGGAAGGAATAGAGGAATTTAGTGCCTGTCAGCCCAAAGGTAAACTAGTCCCTTTGAGGCCATTGGGGTGTAAGTGGGTGCTTTATACCCCTGGCCTGGGGTGTTTGGTAGGCACTAGCCATTGGAGGGGAGAGGGACATGACCCCTGTGCCTCCCCTTTCCATCCTGCTGCTGACTTCCCAGCCCTCCTCTGCTCTGGGCTGCAGACTTCCCCTGTAGTTGCACCAAATCACTTTCTGCTTTCCTAGGGATTCCATACTGTTTTGTCAGATCCATCTGCCTCATTCTTGGCTTTCCCAGGGTGGTTTTTGGGGAGGAAGCGGCAGCCTGTGCTAGATTTCCATCCTGTCAGGACTGGAACCATCCTGTCTGGCTTCAGAGCATAACTCTCAGTTCCATTCACACATTCAGTTGGATGTTAGAGATGATTGTATGACTCCATTCGAGGCCTTTTCTACCAGCAAAAGCTACTTTTTAAAAAAAAAAAGCTTTCATGTTTGTGGTTTGGTCAGATTATATTTACTGCATCTCTTTATAAACATAGCTGATGCCTAGAGTTTTGGCTGTCCCTTGGGCGGATGGAATCTTCTTTTAATTCTTTTCTCTCTTTTTTTATAGGAATGATGTATTTAAAATTCACTGGTTGATGGCGGCTCTTCCTTTCACCAAGTCTCTTTCCTTGGTGTTCCATGCAGTATGTATTAGCATTTTAGGGGTCATTCATGACATAATGTACAATGTCTGTGTGAGCAAGAAAACTAAATTAGAAGAAAAGGGATAGATTGGTGGGAAACAAGGTGAAAGAATAGACTTCTCATAAAGTCCCCTTTTGTCTGGGAGGGACTGGCCATGGCAGTAAATGTTCACCACCTCCCCTAATACAAGACTTAAGACATCTTCTGATACTACTTACAGACCCACAGTTTTTCTAGGATACTTGTTTTCATTTTTTTGTTTTTGTCATTTCTTTTTTGTTTGTTTGTTTTTGTCATTTATTTTCGTTGTTGTTTTTACCCTCCATTTCCATGAGTGAGGTGTATTAAATAATCAGCTAAACAAACATTTCAGCATGGGTTATTATGAGATAGCTGCATATAGAAGACAGACCTGGAGATCAGTTACCTTTTCCAGAAAAGGTGACCTTAGACCTTAGGTCCCCTGCCAAAGGGCTAGATCACTCCTCAGTATTGTTACTGAAAGTAACGTACCCAAGGCACTTGTCTCCAAGGCTGCATCAGAAGAATGAGGACAAGTGGTTTGAAAAGAAGGAAAGAGAGTTTGTTAATTTGCCAGCAAAGAGGAAGTTGGCAGACTCCTGTCTCACAGTACCAACATCCTCCTGTCATTTCTTGAGATGAGAGTGCCATCTGCCAAGTTGTTTCCATGACTTTCATGTTTCCAAATATTCCCTCATGTTCCTACTTGATTTGACGTTCAGCATTAGCATACTTAATTTGAGAGAAAATTGATTCTATTATGTAAAGATTGAGGCATAAGAATTGAGCTTCAGCTTGAATATTTAGGACTGATGTGAATTGAAACGAACTAGCCAGTGGGGGTAAGATCACAACTTCCCCATTCTGGGCTTACATGGTACTCTCCGACCACACTAGTGAGGGTGATTGTCTCGAAGCATGCACTCTCCTGATCCACTAGAAAGTGTCCTCCTAGGAAAAAGCAATAATGTATCCAGTTACAATGTCAAGAACTGACAGTTATTTGGATAATTTCCCATTTGGGTCTAAGTTAAAAGACGCTTTCTGGAGACATATAGCTAATGAATGATAGGGTCCTTGAGTCACTTTAATATCTAGATAGCCATTTGGATAGAATGAAAGATGTATAAATTGATGTCAGCTTTGTGAGTTCTGCCAGGAGGCATTTTAGATGCTCTACTAAAACTTGCCACTTGTTAAAATGCATTATTGGTGGCTTTAAGTAGCTCTAAATTTGCAGATATTTTTAAAGAAAAAATAGTTGAAACTGGGTGATTCCACATAGATTTTTTTTTACCAATGATTGACTTATTTATTTATGTATGCAGCAGGAACATGAAAGATAAAGTTCTTGGCCAGGATACTGAAAAGACTTGTGACATTTGGACCTTGGAGGTTTTTAAGAAAAGAGTAGACAGCCATTGCCAAAGTGAATCACTTCCTTCAAGAGAGAGACCTGGGCTGAGTGTCAATGACATTAAAATTTCGTGTCGAGTTTCTTAAGCTACCTGATATTTGTTAGTACACTCACATGCTTAATTGTGAATTGTGAATTGAGAAGTGAGGCATTAGGCAGTGGTGGAGGGAGGACATGTCCTCTCCTGAGGTCCTCTGAGGTCATTTCATGTTTCACTGTGCTCTAAGATATGTGGTAGGTCAACCTTTCTGAAATGCAGTTGTTTGATTTCAGATCGACTACCACTACATCTCCTCCCAGGGCTTTCCTATCGAAGGTTGGGCTGTTGTGTACTACATAACTCACCTGTAAGTATGCAGGTACATGTGAAATACTCATAGCATGAATGACATACAAGAGAAGTGGGGCTAGGCAGCATCCTGCCCCAGATTGACTGGCCCTGCCCTCCTGTGGCAGGCTGTCTGGGCCCTTGCTATATACCCAGGCTGTGGTGCACAGGTGGCTGTCCAGACTTGAGAATTTGGACTTGTTGGCTTGCTTCTGCTTTTCTGTGGCCATTAGCTGTTCAGGTAGTGGGTGCAGAGCTAACTGTGTGCCCTAAAAGAAGTTTTGCTCACATATGATGTATTTCTTGAATTTGGCTGCCTACCTTTTACAAGAAGCGTGTGGACTCATGGAATGAGCTGTACAGTCTAACTGGCAGAGTGAGAGTCTAACGAGACCCATTGGTGTTTCTTCATTGTTCTCTTCCAGTTTGAAAGGGGCACTACTGTTCATTACCATCGCACTCATCGGCACTGGCTGGGCTTTCATTAAACACATCCTTTCTGATAAAGACAAAAAGATCTTCATGATTGTCATCCCACTCCAGGTAAAGGAACCCTAATCCTACTTGTCACTTCCTCTCTGGGCACTTAGCAGGGGTTAGCTCTGTGCCACTGTGGGAAGAGGGAGTCACCTCTCTCAGCTTCTGCTATTGGGGGTTGAAGATTGGTATTCTCTTTCTGAATTCTGACAGACCTAGACTTCGGGTTGTTGGACTGGGAGACATTTGACCATTAGTGTCTTTAAACTGGCCTGTGGATGCCTCAACTTTGAATAGAGAGCTGCCGAAAAATTAGGGAGACATATGATACTGCTTTCTCTTCTGCATCCATTGGTCCTAAAACAAAGTAGTTCTCTTAGTGAGGAAGCTGAAACACAGAGTATCTGATAACACAGTCCTGTTATCTGGCATTTAGAAGAGTTATTGGAGAAGCTGGGCCTAAGGACCGTGGGCATCATGGCTGAATGGCATGTAAAGTGCCACCTGTTCAGTATCTGAGTGACTGCTGGGCTCAGGGTGCCTAAAAAGCAAAGTGTCCTGGTTATTGTTATGTAAAAAATTATCCCAAAACTTAGTGACTTAGCACAACAATAACATTAATTTTTTCTCTCAGTTTCTGTGGTCAGGAATTTGGGAGTGGCTTAATTGAGTAGGTCTGGCTTGGGGTCTCCTGTGGGTATAGTTAGTGGTTGGGAGCACCTTGAAGTCTGCACTTGCATCTGTCTCCTGGGCTGGGAGCAACTGGGGTTCCTGGGGTGTCTTTCTGTGTCTGCATGGTCTCTAGCGTGGCATTTTCAGGTAGCTAGTCTTACAAGCTCAGGGCTCCACAGGTCCCAGGAGAGAGCTGGGCAGAAGCTGAATCTATCAACCTTGAAAATCACATGGCATCACTTCCTCCTTACCATATTAGACAGAGCAGTCACAAGACCCATTGGTGTGAGCAGTCACAAGCCTGCCCAGGTTCAAGGGGACAGCACAGAAACTCTGCTTCTTAATAGCAAAGTGGTAAAGTTCTGGAAGAGCACATGGGACTGGAAATAATGCTGTGGCCACAGGTTGGGCATCTGTAGGCCCATGTATACCCCACATTGGGGCTGCTGTTGTTGGGATAGTCCACCCTTGCTTTGGGGCCTCAGGAACATCTTGTGTCTTGCAGGTCCTGGCAAACGTAGCCTACATCATCATAGAGTCCACTGAGGAGGGCACAACCGAGTATGGCTTGTGGAAGGACTCTCTGTTTCTAGTTGATCTGTTGTGCTGTGGAGCCATCCTCTTCCCAGTGGTGTGGTGAGTAACCCACAGGGAGGAAGTCTGCGTGACGTGACAGCTTGACTGTCAAGCTAAACTGGCCATTCTCAAATTGATCTGAATCAGACAGGACATGTGTTTGAAAGTATAGCTTCCTGGGTTCCGGGAAGCTTAATCAGTCTCCAAGGGCGGCCCCTGTGTCTTTATTAAGTTACCCAGGGGATTCTGGTAGAGCTAGTCTGGCACTGTGGGCTGGTCATGTAGCAGAGTTCTTTTTTTGAGGTGGGGGTAGGGGGAGCAACTACTTTTTAATGTCTTTTATAAATATTCTGGAGGAGAATCATGCAGTGCTGCCAGCATGGGACACAGTCCTGGGCCACAGCCTGCACCCTCCTTTGCAACTGGTCCTGTGATGGCAGAGCCTTTCATCTCGCCTTCATTGTTTACTGTGACCCCTGTGCTATCTCCAAAATAAAGAAACACACCATTTTCTCCCCTGGTATGATTTTTGTTGTCGAATTACCACTGCTGAATGTACCTTCTTTCTGAGCTGGGTTTTGCCTTTCTTGACTGTGGCCATCACCATGTCACCCACACCAGCAGCAGGAAGTCTATTCAGTTGTCCCTTGGTCCCCTTGACAGAGATGATGTACAGATTTTTAGCTCCTGTGTTGTCAGCACAATTGATCACGGCTCCTACCAGAAGAACCAGGGAAATCTGGAATTTCACACCAGAGGACTCACCATGTCCTCACTCATCACTTATATCTTGAATGCCAAAAAAGGACAGAGAGCCATTTAGCACAGTTCTAAGGCAACAGAGAAAAGTTGGGAAACAAGAACTTAGTAGCAACCTAAAATGGCAGCCTGAATTTGTTGGGGAGAAAGTTGGAGAAATCCCATAAATAGCCATTTCTTGCCAAGTTACATGGAAAATGAGGAGGGACATTAACAAAGCTAGTGATAGTTCTCAGCACGCAAACATTTTCAGTATCTTCAGAACGGTTTGCTCCATTCCTGGAAATGGCAGTTTAGGTGCATAGATTGTGCTTTGATTACATGGAATGAAGTGTTAGTGCCCAGTCAGTGGTTGATGAGAAAGAATATCCTTGTTAAATTACATGCGAAGTGATGGACCTTCTTGGTTCAGTAAGATACTAGTAGAGGAAAGAAGGCTAGCAAGAATAAAACACTTAGTTCACCTTTAATGATCTAGTACTTCCATGGCTATTTGGATGTGATTAATTCTTTTGAAATAAAGTTTAAAGAAATAGACTTGCTTGCCTTCTGTTAGAAGTGAGATGCTTCGTATTGCAGTGCCCCATGTAGTACATTAACATGTTTTAGAACCCTGGGGTTTGTCACTTACTCTGATTATTTAGAACATAGTGCCAGTGAGATGTAATCCTCATTCCAGCCAGTTAGTTTCACTCTTCACCCTAATTCACTCTTCACCCTAATCCATCGTACTTCACACATGGTCTGTGTCAGTTCAGCAGAGGAAGTACTGAAGTGTCTTTTTAGTCACCACGGTCTTCCGCCGTCTGCCCAGGAGTAAGTAACTCAAGCATCTGTATTACGGGGTTGGAGACCCTACTCTAACGTACACCACTATTAGAACAGTCAAATATAAGAAACTCAGACGAGCTATAGAGGTACAAGTGCCCCTTTTCTGCCACTCGTTAATTATAGCACTAATGAGTAGATGTCAAATGGCTAGATTCCTTAAAGTAAATGTACTGAAAATTACTGTAAAATGAAAAAAAGATCAGTAAGTACTAGAGAAATGATTTAAGAAATGGCATCAACAATATTTGTAAATGTTCATATTCAGCTAGCATTGCTTCAGGGCCAGCTTGGTGCTAGTTAACTTCCCAATACTGCTCCATTCAGTTCTCAAACAGCCCACTCTCACAGGTGAGCAAACTGAGGCTTTAGAAGTGATTTGTTAGCCAAAAAGAGTGACAGTGTCAGACCCCGGCTCCATTCTGTGGCGCGGTCCTGTCTGCCTGCACCCTGCTAACCCTTTAGAACAGTTTCTCCATTTGTGGCTTTGGACTGTGCCTAGAACTCTGATCTCAGCTTCTATAATAATGTTATTGTTCCCCTGTCTGAACTGTCATGGTGGTAGTTAATTACTAGCACATCATAGCTGAAAAAAGGACTCCCTGGAGGCTGGCATTTTTCAGCGGAGTTATAAATCTTCACTCAATGAAAAGAGCTTGCAGGAAGCCTTGTGTCCCCAGGTCTTGAACCTAGACTTTAGAAGTCATCCTGTGACTTTCTTCTAGGGTTGATTCTCTCCCCATGGCAGGTGAGCTCAGAGATGCTTCACTGTCTTAGGAGTGTTGGGTGGGAGGACGGTCGTGGGGATGAGAAGCTCAGTAGAGGGTGGGAGTGTTAAAGTGTTCTCTCCTCACACTCTGGCGGCTGCAGACTTACATGTTCGCCAGCAGAGGGCGCCTTTACCTCTCAGCCTTGAGCACCATACATGGCCAAGTGTTGATTATCCCAGATCCCTTTTTTAGGGACAGTGCTCTAAAATTATCTAGTCCAACCTTTCAGTTTATAATTGAGGAATTCAAGGCCTCGAGTTACTAGTGCTGGAAATAGAGAGGAATGCAAATTTGTCAGCTAACCTTTTGTTCTCCAAATGTTTATTTTTAGGTCAATCAGACATTTACAAGAAGCGTCAGCAACAGATGGAAAAGGCAAGTTCCCTCGTGCTCTTTTTGTGCTGCTCAGCTTTCCCTGAGCCTACATGCAGGGCCCTGCTGAGAGGTGGGGGCAGGCCTGTTGAGTCTCAAGGTGCTGTCTTCCTGGGGGACAGGCTGGGGGAGTCCTGGAGGCCCACTTTGTAAGAGCAGTGGGGGCTGTTGGATGGAAAAGCAGGTGTTGAACACTACAGAGACTGGGGGTGTAAGGCTTGGGGGTAGCTGCTGCTTGTTGAGATGATTCATTTCATTTCCACCCGTGATTGTGATTTTCACCTTCTCAAAACTGAGTCAGAAAGAAAATCTTGTCTTGGAAGGCCCAGATGACACTTTACTGTGAGAACAGGAGGTATAATGGATTGGAGATGGCTATGTGTAAAGCAGTCCTTCCTGCTGACTTAACACACTTTCAAAATAGATGTGTTGGTATTAATTTAAAATGAGTCTCTGAAGCCAGAAAGAACCTTTAAAATTATTTGATATTTAAATAGTCCTGCCATTATAACCCTTTTACATCTCCTTGATTTTGCAACCATTTCTCCTAAGTCAGAAAAAAAGGTACAAAGAAAATGTTTTGTATGTTTCTGGGCCTATTTGAATAACATCTGCCATAGGCTGCCATGGCTCAAACGGGAATTTCAGACAGCAGGGGTTTGAGGAGCAGTGCTCTGTGGAAGTCCGGAGCTGCCTCTGGATCTGTGAAATCATACACCTGATGCTGATATTAACATTCTTTAAGGCAGATTATCTATTACTGATAATAAAAAGAAATAGTTTTTTTGGTTAATGAAATTTTGTTGCTGACCTTTTTCTGATTATAAAGGTAATATTTATCTTTAGAAATTTGGAAAGCATTATAGTGGCTATAAATCTTATCTCACAAAGTTGGTATATAACTAATATCACATTATTTCTTTAAATTGAATTAAACATGACCTCAGGGCTTCACCCAGGGTCAAGTAAGATCCTGGCTTCTTATTGAGAGCACAGTATTCGGAAGATCTCTTTAGTTTTGGCCCAGAATAGTTAAGTCATGATTCTTGATGTGTAGATTCACGCAACTCTTGCCACTGGACAGCCTGTGTGTGTGAGTCTTGTGCGGGCTGGGAGCCCTAGCCAGGCTCCCTAGGTCTACCCAGCTTCTTGAGTGTGGCCTGTGCCTGCTTTTGTCGTCTTTCTAGTCCTGGGAAATAGCCCTTCTCCTCTTCTCATTTTTTCCCTCAAAGGCACTGGATTCCTTTCTTTTCCCTCTGGAATATTCTCCGTGATAAATTCTTTTCAGTGAGTTTAAGCTGGAATGTCGTCTGAAGAAAGCCTCTGCTTTTAGCCTGGCTACATAGCCTTTCCTGGAGGCCCTCCTGCCTTCTTGGGGTAAAGGAAACATAAAAACAAAATAATTGAATTAAATTAATTTAATTGAATTAAAATTTTTTTTTTTTTTTGAGACAGAGTCTCGCTTTGTTGTCCAGGCTAGAGTGAGTGCCGTGTGCGTCAGCCTAGCTCATAGCAACCTCAAACTCCTGGGCTCAGCGATCCTTCTGCCTCAGCCTCCCGAGTAGCTGGACTACAGGCATGCGCCACCATGCTGGCTAATTTTTTTATATATATATCAGTTGGCCAATTAATTTCTTTCTATTATAGTAGAGACGGGTCTCGCTCTTGCTCAGGCTGGGTTTGAACTCCTGACCTTGAGCAATCTGTCCGCCTCGGCCTCCCAAGAGCTAGGATTACAGGCGTGAGCTACCAAGCCCGGCCTGAATTAAAATTTTAATAAGGTATCATGCCACAAACACAAAAACCCAAGGTAAAAAATAAAAAATCTACCTCCTGGGAATAATTAGGGATATTCTCATCTCCCCCATCCCCTTATATCCATGTTATATTGAAAGGTGATTTTATTATTTTTGTAACTTAGTAAATAAGTTTTATTCTTATGTTAATATAATGCAATGACACCTTTTAACTTTTTTCTTATACCCTTCAGTATTTTCAAGTTAGTTTTCCTGGCTATTTGGCTGAAAATGTTAAAAAATTCCAAGGGCAGTGTTTTCCAGTTGGTAAGGTTTATCTGCATTTTTCTTCTTGGCTCCTTCTTGCCACCTATGTGAGCTCTCTGGCCCTTCCTGCCCATTCCCTTCCGCCTTCATCTCTCTGACTGTGCTGCCTCTTCATTTTCTGGTCTTGCGATAGCGGGCACTTAGCGGGCTGGGGGTGTTGTGGAGACTGTCTCAGTGACCACTGATTCCACCTGGGTTGGTCCTTAGCTGAGGATCTTAGTAAAGTACCCTGCCTGGGACAGACAGCACAGCAGGTGAGGCCCAAGATGGGTCAGCATCGCCCTCCAGCATGTGAAGTAAAGAAAAACTTTACCGAACTGGGATGGATGCTTTTGTCCTGGCCTGGGGCACATTAGGTAGTTGCTCTCTTTTTCCACCAGGTGACAGCATGGGACCTCTTCTGAGAATGAACGTAAAAGCAGGAAATCACATAGGCAAACCTGGGCTTATATCCCCCACTCTCAGGATGACGTGTGTTAAGAAATCACCCATTTCTCATCAGCAAATATTGTAAACTCTTTGAATGGGGGATAGAGTAGATTAGAAGGGGAGTATCTTTTCAATGCACGTTCTTTTCTCTGAATTGATTTTGATTTGGTCCATGGGATGCTTTTGAGCATTACTGAATGGTTATGAAAAACGGTTATGCTTGTGACACTCCCTGAGTGAGGGCAGCCATGTGTCCACAGCTGAAGTCCCCCCTGCAGAAAAGTCTCAGGAATAGCACTCTGTGCTGGAGGGCCAGCCTCAGGTATGGCTGCATTGTGGCCCAGCCAGGAAAGCTGGAGTGAGCGCACTGCCATCCACTGGCTCCAGGATCAGTGGACCCGTTGTCCCGCTATGCTCCTCAGTTCAGCCCTCCTGAGGTCTGGCTCATCCTAGAGGCCCTGAGAGCATGAAGACCACAAGCAGTAACGTCTCCTGTCTGTTTTGGAAGCATTTTGCTGGATAGTGTCTGACATTCTGATTCCTGTTCTTAGCTTCGTTATTCCATTGACTCATTACATGGCCTTGACAGTAACTTGGGCTCAAGAATCTCAGTTTAGGTACAGTCCAGGCTGAGTAATTGCAAGTGAGAAAAATGCTGTTTGTTGTTGTTCTTCCTGCATTTGGGTTGAATATAGCTTTCTGAGGGTATTCGTTTGAACTTTATTTACTTTTTTTATTGGACAGGGTCTCACTTTGTTGCCCAGGCATGAGTGCAGTAGCACAATCATAGTCCACTGCACCCTCAGACTCCTGGGCTCAAGTGACCCTCCTGCCTCAGCCTCCCCAGGAGCTGGGACTACAGGTGCACACCACCATACCTGGCTATTTTTTCTATTTTTTGTAAAGATGGAGTCTCACTGTGTTGCTCAGGCTGGTCTCAAACTTCTGAGCTCAAGCGATCCTCCCACTTTGGCCTCCCAAAGTGGTGGGATTATAGGTGTGAGCCACCACACTGGCCTTGTTTACTTCTTTATCTCTGGATTCCTTTTGACTGAACCTGAGGGAAGTATAAAACATTAAGGTTGAAGCTGCCCAATGTCCTTAGGCCCTGTCTTTGTCTCTTCTATCACATGCCGTGGCTTCTCTTAGGTCCTGTGTCATTTAGATTCACTGCTGCACTGCATCCCTGAGAGGGAGCTTAATGGCGTCTTGGACAGGCACACCTAGCTCCATTCCCCGGGTTTTCTCCTGCCAAGATTTACTGGCTGTTCCTGCCCTTAAGCTTGCTTCCCTGTTTCCCCTCCTTTCTGTCATTACCATGTAGGACTGGCTTGGAGATATACACCATAAATTTAATTAACGGTCTCTGCTTCTGATCATCCTTTTTTTGGCCTTGTGTTTCGGAGGAAAAGTCAGAAGAAGTATTCTGAAGAATCTTAGCTTTTATGGAGCTTCAAAAACATTTAAACAAATGACAGTTGGCTAGTTACAGGGTTTACTGAGCATTGGCTTCATTCTGGCTGCTGCCATGTTCTAAAAGGAGCTGTGGCCATGAGAGATGTTTTTAGGGCAGCAGTTCTCAAGGGGGTCCTCAAGGTCAAACTTGTTTTTATAATCATACATTTTTAGCCTTTTTGACGTTTGCCCTGATGGTGCAAAAGCAATCCTGGGTAAAACTGCTGGCACCTTCATGTCATTCAGGGCTATGGCACTGAACTCTACTAGTAGCCATTGCATCTGCACTGCCACCTACTTACAGGGGTGAAAAAGCCTTGTGTCACTTAAGAATGGACTTGATGAAGTAATAAAAACTGTTAATGTTATTACATTTCAGCCCTGGAGTACATATCCTTTAACATTCTTTGTGACAAAATAGGAAGTATGCATAAAGTCCTCGAAGTATGATTGTCATGATCTTGAGGAAAAGTGTGCATGTGATTATCTGAGTTGCAAGCTAAACTAGCCACTTTTGTCAGGAACACCGTTTTTATTTGAAAGAATGACTGGCTGCTATGGTTACTCAAACTTGGGTTTTTGGCAGACATACAAAAACGGTTTCTTGAAAATGAATGAAATGAGCATATCACTTTAAGAGAAATAACTAACAGTATTTGTTGCCGGTGATAAAATTTGTTCTTTCAAGTGAAAATTAGAATTTAGAAAAACTTATATCTACCATTGTAAGCCGGTCTTATAAGACATCTGATGTAAGCAGAGGTGTGGTATTAACAATGTGTTGTTTTTTTTTTTAATTTTATAATAAAATGTTTGGGAGAGCTGCATAACTCACTGAAAAATATCTTTCGCCAGACCAGTGCATGAAGTTCCACAGTCATGCTTGGGTAACAGAGCCATTCAGAGTGCAGGATGGACTGGTGGAATTTAGTGTAACAGAGAGTGAAAGGTTCATTGATGTGGCTTCAGGTTCCCCCAGCTCACTAATGTTTAGAAGCTACCACTTGTCAACTGTAAATGTAGAATCAAACTATTCAGTTATCTAAGAAGGCCTAC